AAGAGTATTTAGAGCAGTATAGAGATAATTGGATCTCTATACGAGTATTTAGAGAAGTATACAGAAAATTATATCTTTTAAAGGAGTATTTATAAATAGAGCAGTATAAAGATAATGATATATCTTATTAGAGTATTTATAAATAGGGAAGTATAGAGATAGTCATATCTCGAATAAGAGTTTTTTTGTAGATGTTCATTCTGAGTTTTAACCTTTGAGATATTACTTTATCTTTCCAAGCAAATAAACAATAAATACATTTTCTGCATTACCAATCGTGAAAGCAAAAGACAAAAATTTGTTGAAATTTGTTTCTTGGAAAAGAAAATGAGGAAAACTTAAAGAAATATTAATGAGCTGTATCCGGGTTTGGTTTTAGATCCGGATCCATTGTTTTTACAGGACGGATCCAAGATCCGGATCCGGATCATTTCTTTTCATTTTTTCCCTTTACATAAATTTATTCATTCAAATTAGTTTTCAATTTATTCTTCTTCTTATTACTATCTTTCTAGCTAACTTTATATCTATCTTTTTACATCTTTCTCTATCTATCTATCTATCTATCTATCTATCTAAATATCAATCTATCTATCTATCAATCTTTTCTCTATTTATCTATTTATTTTCTATATCTATCTATTTATCTATCTGTATATCTGCATATCTATCTATCTATTTGACCATCATTTTTACTACTGAACATAGATAAGACCTTCAATTTGTCCGAGTAGTAAAAAAGTTTTTAAAAAAACTGTAAATCTCGAGAAAAGTGCATTCGGCGATTTTTCAAAATTTCAACAATTCTGCCGCCGCACCGTTAAGTTTCACTCACCTTTTTGCTACAGTATTTTTATTTAAATTGGAATTATTTCTTCAGTTTTTCCCAAAAATACATTTTTGGCATTTTATATCTAAGAGCTCACTCATCCGACGGTTTCACTTAAGTTATATATTATTCATAAACTTCCTTTTTTCCCCTGATTCTATATATATATATATAGCTCATATTTGGTGACTTTTTACCGACGCATTTTTAATAATAAATTATTTAACAATTGCAGGTATGTTACTTACAGTACATGTACATTTCAACAAGTTGGAAGAAAAAGAAGTTGAAAAAATGAGACTAAATTGAGATATGCTATAAGAACTAAGTTTGAAAGAGTCGAGTCTAATTTTAAACCAGTCAATCCCTTCAACAATATTCTTAAAATCGGGTCTAACTTAGAACATCAGAGTTTAGAATTTAGACTCGAGACTAGGATTTTATAAAACTAGTCTTAAACATTTGTGTTTTTCTTGAGAAATCCCGAAAATTCATAAATATTTCAGGGTCATTAAAATGCAGAATTTATCGAGGGTGTACAGTTAACCTTTATACATAGATACTACTGTGGAGGGATTACAGTGCTCGGAGGATATGAAGGAGGGAGGTGAGGGAGGGGGG